ACGCAGGTCAAACAGCCTGCAGGTGGCGTCATCAGAACCAGTCGCAAACGCACTGCCGCTGGGGAAGAACTGAGAGATGAAGGAGAAAATAAGTCAAAAGGAAAGGTGATGTGTTTTTGTTTAAGCAGTGCATTTACTCACACAGACAGCGTTGATGTCTGACTCGTGCCCGGAGAATGTCTGTCTGCACATGCTGTCTCTGATGTCCCAGAGCTTAATTGAGGCATCACAGGCCCCAGAGATGAAGGTCCGTGAGTCTGGAGCCAATGACAGACTCATCACATCTCCACTGTGACCTGAGAACAGCGTGGTCTGCTGACCGGTCTCCACGTCCCACAGAGCGCTGGAACAAACACAGCTGGAAGGTTAAAACATACAACCTGCACAGATATTATTCAACTATATAAGTAGAAATTTAAAACAAAACTTGTAACTGAACAGTGTGTTTGACTGCAGTGATTCTCAACTGGTCTAATTACGGACAGCAGGGAAAAACACTGATAGATGCAAATAATAAAACAACCATTTTATCATGTGCAATAAACCGGCTCATGCTTCCCGTATCATTTTCTGTTGATGTTCAGACGGTTTTGGTGTAAATTCATCTATCTTTTAGGAAAAGCTAGCTATAATAACATGGACAGGTTGTGTGATATGTCCTCATCCTCGAAAACCATGAAACTACACAAGGTAAAAGAAAACATGACCCAGATTACAAATAAATCTCTTGCAACATGGATAAAAGTGTGAAAAGAGATTTTGTTTTGGCTTGTGAATACTGATTTCTGGGTTTAATATGAATTAATATTAATACATTTCAATAGTATATTATTATAAGAAAAAAAATCACGTTTGATCATGCATGGTTGGGCACAACAAATTTTGGTCCTGAAGCAAAACCAATTGAGAACCACTGTAGTATAATGTCGTTTTTACATTTATTAATTTTTTTTTTTAGTGTAGAATAGTGTTGTTGAACACACCAGGTTGTGTCTCCTGAACTGGTGATAATTTGATTGTCATCTATGAAGCGGCAACAGGAAAGGTAACCTAGGAAATGAACAGACAGGAAGTCAACATGTCACACCCTGAAACTGCATAATGGTAGAAAAAAATGCTGTCTGATTCTCTTTTCTTTCAGATGTACACAAAAAATGCAGTCATGAGCAGTACATTTGATTACTGCCAACAACAGTATGCAAACTGCAATTAATGTTTAGATCATTGCTTTACTCTTCTTTGTAAGTGAAGTTGTGAGCATGTGTGTTATCAAACCTGTGTGTCCAGGCAGCTCTCGGCTGACTCTAACATTGCCCTCTCTAGTCTTTAAGCTGTATATGGAGCAAATGTTGTCCAGTCCACCACAGGCCACAAAGTTTCCAGATGGCGCATACGCACAGGTCATCACCCATGATGACCGTAAGGGGATGGCATGAATCTGAAGTTTATAATATAGAACACGCATGCAAAGATTAAAACAGACTGCTGAAAATCAGATAATGACAGGAAAAACACACATGCTGATAATCTTTACGACATAATATATAACTAACCTTTTGCCAATGTTAACTATGAACCGTCTTTCTAA